ATGCCTGTTTATAGTGACTTTATCGATTGGACTTTGTAGACATGCCTTTATTTGATGAAATGCACCCTTGAAAGCATCGAAAGTATTATCAATTCCGGCTCTCATTCTTTTGCCTTCATTCAACTGCATTTTTAATTCACCATCAAAATGAACAATGCACACAAATAGCCTCCATTTCATTTTTCATTATCGAATGTCTGCGAGTCATTTGATGGGTTCCATTTTAAACAGACATCCAACTTACCACAAACATCGCAATTCCTAAATTTACTTATACCATTAATGTTCATCATTTGATTAATGTAACATTTAGCAGAAAAATTTTCTGTCTCATTTTTTTAACCATTCACTTTTTTATTCTCCTTGAGAGATTAATTTTTTTTACTTCCATTTTCTTTTTTTATATTTTATTGATTGAAATTTTTTAAATTAAATTTTAATCTAACTTTTTCTTGCTTGGATTCACTCCTAAATGTTTACTTTTCACGATTTCTGCATCTTTATTGTCTCTTCCAGATTAGAATTTCGAAATTCAACGAAAATTCTTCCCCGACAATTGGTTGATAATAATGTTAACAATTTATAAATGCTCGTTAATTTCTTCCGAGAAGATATAAGAATTATGTACTCTCTGTATCACATCCTTATCTTATTTTTTAATTTTAAATTGAAACTTTGTTTACTTGTAAAAAATAATCTTGGAATGAAATCTCATCCGCTGTTCTGTTCAAAATGTTGAAATTCAATTGCTGAAATAAATTCTCCCAAGAAATGCACGATGGAAAAACTTCTATCTCTTTTGCAAAAACATTCATTTTCTCTATGTTGGCGCTAATTTAAGGAGGATGGAGTGCTTTGGAGTGTATATCGAAGATGGATGGATGAATAGGATGAGGGATTGACATGAAGTGACATTGGGAAGGAGTGGCTTAAAGGTTGCTAAGCTCATTCTTCTGTTCATTTGCTAACTTTTCACATTTGACCTTTAATTTTGCCTTTTTGAATTTTCTTATTATATAAATATGAAAATGACGATGGATTCATTCAACATTTTGTGAAATAACAAAATTCAAAAGCAATTCAAATATATCGAAACAGCCTCAACATTACTCCGAATGTCTGAGTATACATGTCACATGCAGTTCTCAGAAAGTTCCTAACAATTGTAAAAAAAAAGAAATGAAATTAAGATAAATGCATCAATTGTTGATTCATATTTCTAAAACTTTACCGCTGAATGTTTTTACTAAAGTGAATGTATACATCTCTTTCTGGATATAGAACATAATTAATTGGGTAAAATATTTACCTGATTTCAATCATCCTGTCAACTTATTCATTTATAATTCATTTTTTAATTTGCTGTGCCATTTACTATCGATCATTTTTACCTTTCTCATTTATCTTACCTCATCGATCTTACATTATTTTTCTTTCTTTTTCAAAGTTCATGCGTACTTTAGTAAATAGCAATCTATTGGGTAATATAAGTTATGCTGCTGTTTTCTTTAGCCCTTTGTTTAAGGTAAAAATGAGTTGTAAGGGAAAGACAGAGAGAGAGAAAGAGAAAATGAACGAGTACATTTTATATTAAGCACTTGTGCAATCCCAAATTCAGGGTTGTGGTTGAGCTTACTAATAGCAAATTATTTCCTTTATGGTGGTTTATTTTATAGAACAAAGGGGGAAAAAACGAATTGTGTCACACTTCGAAAAGTGTCATAAATTATTTTTACAACTATTACATTCAATTCATTCATTTTTAATCCATTTTCCATTTGGGGAAAAATATTGTGAGCCATCATTTACTGGCCTGATCGTTTCACTCCTTTCCTCCCTTCTCTCTGTTTCTCCTTCTCTCTCCCTCTCTCTTTCACTTCATTGTATCCCCTTTTTCCTTCGAACGAATTAAAAATTGTGCTTTTTCTTGCGAAAAAAGAAATGCAATTATTTTCCATATCTTATCAATCTTTTCTCCACACATAGGGGTATTTAACTTTTAATTTATTTTCTCTAAAAGCTACTTATTCTAATTTGTTTGAAAATCAAAATATGTTACTAATTAAGTAGGCATAATTACATATTGGTTAGTAAAACTGTCACATTCTATTACATTCAATTTGTTCATTTTTTAATCCATTTTCCACTTGGGGAAGAATATTGAATTTTTTTAACTTCAATTTTTAGTATCAACGGCAGAAAAGTACAATTATTGTGAATGTATTTTCATTTTATCAATTTTTCTTGTCCATCTTTAGAGTAAGAATAAATTATTAGGTATTCAAAAAGTCAGTTGTTGTTAGCTGCTGTTGTTGTTTTGACGTATCTTTGGTTCTTTAACTCTTGTTTTCTCTTTTATTTATTTTTTTTTTTAATAAAATATGGTCTTTTCGTTTTTTAATTTAAAAAATCGAAAGAGAGAGAGAGAGAGGAAGAGAGAGGTAATGGTTATAGTGACTGTTTATTAATCATTTCTTAGAATGGTAACCAATAAAATATCACAACGTGAAAAAAAGTGTTGTGAGGTAATCAGAACATTTTTGGGTGTTTAAAATTCGTCTCTTCTGTCTGACGAATCATTCTCGGAGACTTTCGCGGAAGACTTTAATGTAATTTCTTTATTTGTTGTAAGTTGTACATTTTAAAATGATCCATATTGTTCACAGTGATTAAGTACGTCTCTTACGATTGATTTCAAAAGCTGTCTTCTGCAGTCTATCTTTGGCTGCTCCAGTTTCTTCAATATTACTCGATAATACTTTGACCATATTAAAAGCACCTAATCATGTTAATTTTCTATTTTACTGATAGCAATCAGCCTTCAACTTTTTGACGTTTTGCAGCGAATCAAAATGGTGTAAATTTATGCTTTCTCGACGAATGAAGCTTATTATTATTGTGCATTAGATCTTTTTTGACTTGTTAACGCTCGAAAATGAATTGATGAATCGTTTATTTTTTGCTACATTTGCACAATATTTCAAGTTTAGATTTTAATATTTAGCTCGAAGTAATTTACCTTTCTTTAAAATGCATTCATTTTAATTCAGCAATTGAAAATTTGTCAAACTTTTTCCTCTTTGTTCATTACTTTTCAAAATTTTTACTAAATTTGTTCAATTCCGAAAAATTTTTGATATTAATATAAACCTTCCTAATATAAATTATGTTTTATTGCATCAATTTGATTGCAAAATTTGAAGGGTTAGAATGTTTTCAAGAATTGATGGAGCTAGAAATGCCCATCAATCCAGAGAAGCTCAGAAACTATAAAGACTAAATAAATCAGTAAATGATTGACCTCGACAGATCAGTAAGGTCACACGTTTATCTTTGAAATTTCTTATACATCTCTAGAACCTCTTCAATTTCGTCTTGATCTCTTGCAATGTGTTTCAATATTACCCGAAAGCAACTCTCCGCAGTGATATGGCAATATCGTGCTCCATCAGCACTTCTATCATATCATCTTTTCATCAATCTCTGGTTTATTAGTAAATGGTTATTAGTCATTATAGTTCCGTCCTATTTTTTTCTATTTTCAGTTATAATTAACTCCAATTAAAATGCTCTTTTAATCCTGTAAGACTTTCCCTTTTTTATGCACTCTTAAGTTTTTAATATTAATTAAGTTCACAAAAATTTTGACCATAAATTGTTTTTATTGAATCTATTTATGAACATAATAAATTACTGTTGAATAGTTTGGTCGTACTTATTTTTTTTTCTAATTAATTTAGTAGTCATATTTTTATATTTTCAAAATTTGTGTGATATAATTAGAGAAAAGATGAACATTTTCGTTGTAACTGTAATTATCACCACAAACTGCCGTAAGCATAATTATTATTATCGTTATTGTTAGTATTATCATAAAGTAATCTCTTTAAATTTTTTTTCATTTTATTTCAATAGTTGGTTTTCGAATTCGTGAAGGATTCGATATAATATTTCATATCTGTTTCATTTTCCAATTGTTTATTAAAAGCAAGAATTAAAAAGTTTCCAGGCTAAAATTAAAAGTATTTGGATTTCACTCTATCATTCTCTTTTTTAATGAAGTGATTTAATAATTTCATTCTTTATCAAACCAAAATTTATTTTTATTTGATTTTTTGTATCAGTATCACTGATTATGCTGCATAAAATTTGGTTTCATTATTGATCGGTATATTAGTTGATGAACAGTAGAATGAGTGCTGAGTGGACCTATAACCTGCCGAGCCATCGAATTCTTGTCTTTCGGTTTATTCAAAAGTGGCATCATCAATCGTATCCATTCATTCAGGTTAACTGACGATCTTAGTTTTGTTTGCAAAAAAAATAGTTTTTGGGATTCAAAAAATTTTACTTCTAAATTGGACGCAATGCTTAATCATGCGGCCATCGACTTTTACAATCACTTAAGATAGACAGTTAATCCCGAGAGTAGTTGATCTCGAGCACAGTTGCCACACACTTCATTTCATTATCGCATTCATTTTTATTTCAACCGCCGTCTTTCTGTTCCTCAATCCCTTACATTTATTTCTCTTTTCTTTCTCATTTTTTACTTTTCCCCTTGGTTATATTATTTGTTTAGTGTGGCTGGAATTTGTTGAATTCTATTCCGTCTATTATTACCGTGAAGAATTGTTTATATTTACTTATCATGACTAATTTATGAATGAATTACAAGTATCACTAATTTAAATAATTGTCGGCAGTCAAATTTGGATTTTTGATTAATAAGAAATTTAATCCGGAGCACTTCCCGATCCTTCATTTTCTGTATCACTTTCCAATATTCCGAAATTTTCTCATCCATTCTTCATAAAATTCTATAATTGATTTGTAAAGTTGGTTTAAACAAAATTCCATGTTTCAACACTTTCGTTTCAATTCGAACTCTTCACAAACATTTTTTTAATTTAAAATAGAATTTTAAAGTATGTACTTTGCAGATTAATTTATTCCATTTGAAATTTCAATCATAAAAATAAACTTAATTGGCAATGATAATGACTTTGTATAATAATTACAATACTAACGATGGAGTGATCGATAACAACAACGACAGCAACAACAACAGTGGCAGAAACGGTATCGAATTTACGACAGTTGCCGCGGCGGGCAATTCAACGCGACCATCATGTTCCAGTATTAGTGTCATGGTTGAAAGTGGTTTGAAATGGAAAACGAATGTGGTACCAGGTTGTACCACTTCTTCAGCTGTTACGTTACCCAGACGGGATTTCCATTTCAAGGTATCATTCTTTTTTTTTTGAAATATATCTCAAGGTGATAGAGCGGCATTTCCAAAAAAAGATCAGTTGTATTTGTGTTCAGCAATGTGAGAAACAGAGAAGAAAAAAAGTATCAAAATTTAAAATATAAATCTTCAGAATAGCTAGTTGGGGGCGAATTGTTTCCTCCAGTTTTCCAAATCAAAATCATTTATATTTAAAACTTGAGATTTTGACCTTTCGAACAAAGTTAACATTAGTTGCGAAGTTGTCATAACAAAAACTGAATGCATTTATTTTAAAAACAAGAAGACCGGAGGATTGGGAAACTTACTGAAAAAATCTTAAGAAAAGAAAATTTCTGGTTATCTTTTGATTTCGGTAAACAAGTTTCAGATCTTTTATTTTTCTATAAATTTTTTTTTGTCCAACGCATAATCACATATCACACATTTGTGAGAAAGATATAGCACGCTTAATATTTATGATAATAAAAAAATTTTAGAAAAAAACAAAAAAGTTTTCATTTTTTTTGCTAATAAATGAGAAATCTTCTGTTTGGGTCAGTAGCACAGTCTTCTATAAATTGATTTTCTCATTTAGGTGTACATTTTGAGAGCAGAAAATTTTTGATACATTTCATGTTTAAAAAGAATTTAATTTCAAAAGATCAAATGTTAATTGCTTTCACAATTGTTGCAGCAGCTCAATTGCTTTCATAATTGTTACAACAAATAGATAAGTTCTGTGTACCAAAAAATTTTAGTAGACAAGCTTTTTTCGAAATCATAATAGTTTATATTAAAATAAGCATTGAAAGATTCAGCTCAATGTCACATCTCATGTCCGTATGCTCGAAAAGTTACAAGCGATACAACTCGTAGTAAATTGATGGTATATCTCAGTATACAATCATAACTAGGATGCATGAGCATTTTTCTGACTTTTCACATTTTTATATTGTTTGATATCATTTTCTAATCTCCAAATAAATATTTTTTAAAAAAACGAAATTTAACATCGAAATTAATTTTGACCTACAAATGAAATAGATTTTTTCCGTGATATCGAAAAGAGAAATTATGTTGCTTACCTTTAACCTAGTTCGAATTTTTTTCAAAAAAATTTTGCAAGTTTTTAAAATTGCAAAAGAAAATCAGTCACCGTAGATTATATTAAATGTACAGCAACTGATTTTTATATTAGATTAATTAAAGAATTATTATCAACGTAACTTATTTAGTGAAAAAAATTTCTTTTTACTGGGTACAATAAATTTTCGCCAAATATTTCAATATTTTGTTTTGTAGAAGTAGTTATAAACTAAACCTCGAGATTTTATGTGAAATTTCAAAGAATTTTTGTTTTTGTTAAATGTCTATGATTGCTAGCATTTAACCGAATTCTTGTGGTCATACATATATATCAGACTGGCCATCACAAATTAATTCGATCAAAATAACATACGTTACTGCATGTTATTCACATTTTCGCTCGTGTAAGGAAAGCAGTAAAATTATTTCATATTTTCATAGCTATTAAATAATTTTAATGGAGGGAAATAACAATAATCTGTGACCATTTTTGGATCACAGCAAGCAAAAAGTCAAAGGTCAATGTTTGTTTGCCGGGAACTAATCACAACAATGCTAGGGAAGCCATAAACGAATCTTATTTTTTATACTACTAAGCAAACAGTCAGTTAGTTAAATGCACTTGAAATTTTCAATACTTCTATTCCATACAATACACCACTTGCAAACAACGGTTATAAAGCTTATTTCCTTCCAAAGAAGTGTTGTTCTTAAAAGGAAATGTATGAATATTTATTTCATATATTTACATAAAAAATATAATGGAATTAATGAACTAAGGGAAGTAGAAATAATACCAATGATTGCAGAACGATAAGTGATAACGGTCACAAACACACATACACAAAAATTAAGGAATTATGTCTACTATTATTACATTTACAGTTCCAATAAATATTTTTTATACGATGGATTGTTTTTGACAATTCATTTCGTAAAAATTCAAAGAATTA